TAATCAGTCAACTGCTGTGTGGGACAAATGAGCTTATGGCTCAAGATCCGAGGTAATGCCAACCAGGGGAATGGGAAGGTGAGTGTCTGCCACTGACCATCAAGTCAGGAAGAAGAGGTGGATGAAGCCTTCTTTAAACAACTAGAAGAAGCCTTCCGTTCACATGTCCTGGTTCTCATAGGGGACTTTTACTACCTCATACCTCCTAAGGAAGCAATGTGGCAGGGCCCAAGGAATTGAGGATTTTTCTGAAGTGCTTGTAGGATGATTTTTTTCATGCAAGCGCTTAATGAGCCAACTAGGGAAAATGTGTTGCTGGATCTGCTACTCATGAATATGGAAGAAGATGGATGGCAGCCTTGGCTGCAGTGACAATGGATGATGAAGTTGAAGATCCTGAAAGCAAGGAAGGCGAGTTCCAGATTAAAGTATGTTCCATGAGGGTGAACGTATGCATGTCCAGGTCATCTTAGTCAAGAGTCTCGTAAGGGTATAGTAAACATTGTTCTATTTATTTTGTAATGGTAGAGTGGAAAATAAGAATTGAATTGTGTATCTCTTTAGTGTACACAGGGAAGAAACCTTTTTTTTTTTTTTTATGATGTAACTTAGAATTTACATAGATGCTATGCATTAGTTTCTAAATAGCTGCTATTTTATTTTCCTGCCAGAGTAGAACCCAGAAAAATTCAGTGCATTTTGCTAGTCTGATTGTGCTGTTCTGTGGTGACAAAAAAGTAGGTAACTTCTTCGATGGTGTCTGATGGAATACCGATAACTAGGAAAAATAGACTTGCACTTCAACTTCTTTGAAGGTTCTCTAAATATCTTTAAAATTTCTTGCTGTTAAAGATTTTGATACTGAAATCTTGTTCTGTAGTGCTTTAAATTTTTGGTTTTTTGTTTTAAGATGTTCTTGTGTGAATTAAATCTACCGGTTATTGCAAATATATGTATTTTGCTTTGGGTTTATTTGGTACAATGTTTCATTTGCATTTGTGGAATGTACTGAAATAATCAGGACGGGTATTTACATAGATGACAGAATAAACCATAAAAAGACACTCAAAAGCAATCTTGTTTAAGGACAGCCTACTCTGAAGCAGTCCTTTAGTAGGCTACAAAGCTACTTCACAGGAAAGGTTAAAAATGACAAATGGTTTAAAAAAAAAAAACTTTAAAAAATAACATAGGAGATGAACTGAGGATTATTAGATTGTAAGCTCTTTAGGGTAAAGGCTGTTTTCTTATTTTGTGTTTCTGCAGAGCAGTGAGTTGCTTAGCACTTCTAGACAGGAGAGTAAGTTAAGTAATTATCAGAGCTGGGATAGTGACAACGATAACCCTGAGACAGAATCGTAGAACCATTAAGGTTGGAAAGGACCTCTGAGATCATCGAGTCCAACCGTTAACCTAACTGCCAGGTCCACCTCTAAACCATGTCCCTAAGCACCACATCCACACTAATTTTGAATACTTCCAGGGACTGTGATTGCACCACTTCCCTGGGCAGTCTGTTCCAATGCCTAAATGGCATAGATGACTAGATGGCTTTAGGCATGGGCAGATGAATTTTCGAGGGAAAAAATAGCTTGTCTTTGAAAAATTCTTATTACTTAAAAAATGAGGGGAATGCTTGAGTATGTCTAAATCCATTCACCTTTATGATCAGAAGGGTCAAGAAGTTGGGAGAAAAGTAAAATGGGATGTCTATAAAATTCAGATTCTTCCGAGTGTGGTCTGGTTGTGTGGTAAACAGTGTAGATGTATGTATGTATCAAATATTTCAGTATCAGGCTGGAATGGAAGAAGAGAAATTCTCTTTTCTCCCTTGGCTGAGCAGTTGTTGATACTCACCAGTGCTGTTGGTCCTAAGAGTCATGCTGGTCCCCTCATACTGCTGAATAGGAACCTTACTTGCTGCGTGTTGTTGTTTAGCATTACAAGCAGCGTCCTACAGAGTGTGGTGGAGTCAAAACTGGAAAAGTAATTTAACGATGATTTCTTTTATATGTTGTTGAATTTCATGTGATCACAGACTTTACACACTTGTAGTTTGGCTTGTTGCTAGTGAAAACACTTCAGATTGTTAGTTTAGACTCAATATTTTAAAAAATGAAAATGAGCCTAATCAGTTGCCCACTGGGTGAAACTTCCAGCGTTGACACTTTGCTTCCTCTGACCCCTGAGGGGACAGACTTTTACTCCAGAAGTAGAGTACGCAGGTCTTGGTGAGTGTCGAATGAGCCCAGCAGTGACTCGGAGCTGAGAGAGGGTGGTTGTGGCATCCTCAAGAACTAGCCAACACAGTGCCGTGGGAGCAGAGGGAAGGAACTTCTTTGCTGACCCTTCTTTTGATCAATTCATAGACTATATGCCATGTAGTGAAAGATGGTTAAGTCTGTCTTGACTTGTATAATTAGACTATCACTGAGTATAAATTTGCTTTACGTGTACTTTGTGGTTGAGTGTCTGACCTCTGATTTTGCTCTCCACTGGGCATCTTTGCTTCTGTCAAATGCTTTTGTTACTGGCTTTCAACTATTGACACCAAATTCAGATGACCCTTTGCTGTTTTCAGGAGAGTTTGAGCTATATGCTTTTAATTTTAACTATCTGGATAAGCTGCCTTCTGCTTTATAGGATATATTACACTTGTTCTACAGTTTTTCTTTATAAGTTCCTCTTGCTTAGGATTGGCTTCAGTGCCCTGCTAATGGGTTACACATCTTTAAGGTTTCATAAAAATGTTAATGATTTGTTGAATGGCTGTGGTGGGTTGACCCTGGTTGGACGCCAGGTGCCCACCAAAGCTGCTCTATCACTCCCCTTCTCAGCTGGACAGGGGAGAGAAAATATAACGAGAGGCTTGTGGATCAAAATAAGGACAGGGAGATCACTCACCAGTTACTGTCACAGGCAAAACAGACTCGACTTGGGGAAATTAATTTAATTTATTGCCAATCAAATCAGAGTAGGATAATGAGAAATAAAAACTAAATCTTAAATCACCTTCCCTCCACCCCTCCTGTCTTCCTGGGCTCAACTTCACTCCCAATTTCTCTACCTCTTTCCCCCGAGCGGTGCAGGGGGACGGGGAATGGGGGTTGCGGTCAGTTCATCACACATTGTTTCTGCTGCTCCTTCCTCCTCAGGGGGAGGACTCCTCACACTCTTCCCCTGCTCCAACGTGGGGTCCCTCCCATGGGAGACAGTCCTCCATGAACTTCTCCAACGTGAGTCCTTCCCATGGGCTGCCGTTCTTCACGAACTGCTCCAGCGTGGGTCCATTCCATGGGGTGCAGTCCTTCAGGAACAGACTGCTCCAGCGTGGGTCCCCCACGGGGTCACAAGTCCTGCCAGCAAACCTGCTCCAGCATGGGCTCCTCTCTCCATGGGTCCACGGGTCCTGCCAGGAGCCTGCTCCAGCGTGGGCTTCCCATGGGGTCACAGCCCCTTCAGGCATCCACCTGCTCCGGTGTGGGGTCCTCCACGGGCTGTGGGTGGGTATCTGCTCCACTGTGGACTTCCATGGGCTGCAGGGGGACAGCCTGCCTCACCATGGGCTTCACCAGGGGCTGCAGGGGAATCTCTGCTCGGGCGCCTGGAGCACCTCCTCCCCCTCCTTCTTCACTGACCTTGGTGTGTGCAGGGCTGTTCCTCTCACATATTCTCACTCCTCTCTGCCGCTGCTGTTGTTGCGCAGTTTTTTCCCCCCTTCTTAAATATGTTATCCCAGAGGCACTACCGCCATCGCTGATGGCAGGTTCGTATACCACTATGTACTTCAAAGATGCCAGTTGCCCATACTTTCTTCTAAACGCTTCTACAGTCTCACTGGTGTTACAGATTTCACAGGTATTCATCTGTAAATATATATATAGCATCTATATTTTTCTTACAAAATAAATAAGCTTAGTATGGTTAAGGTATTTAATGTTCACTCAAACTATGAAATATTTTTGCTTGCTGAATAGTGAGGCATGTTTTAATGTAGCTGGTGTCTTTTGCGGTATTCTTCAATGTTTTCAGAGTTCTGTAAATAATGTGATAATTCAGTAAGGTATGCTCTTGCACACTTAGAAATACTCAGTAATTTTTTTTAAATAGAAAACGTTAAAATCACAGGGATTTCTTTTTTGGTGAAAATGATGGAAGTTGAGACTTACTCAACACATTTTATGAATGGATACTGTGGTAGGCAAGTGTAAGCTAAATTTTTTTGCTCTTGGCAGGATTTGTTTTGCTTAACTGTGGTAATTTAAAAATGGTTGTAATTTAATCAGCATTAAACTGGGGTAAGCTGTTAGTTTGCTGAAAGGCAATTTTGTTCACTACTGGCTGCTCGCTGTTGCTTGGTGCTGCTGTTTAGCTGGATGGTGGGATTGCATTTGTTGACTGCGGTGGCAGTTTATGCTACTTTAAAAGGGTTCATGAAAGTGCAGCTTTCAAAGCATGCAGCCTAATCCTGTTACCTTGGTTCTCTCGCCAGTGGCTGGAGACCTCTTCTGGGGTACCTGCTTTACCTGTCCATTTTAGCATGGGATGAGTCTGGGGGGTGCCCTTGCTTACCACTGATGAGAAATGGAGACTAGACTAAATGCTTAGTTCAGCAATAGCTAATAGCGGGTGAGGTGAATCTCATCCTTTTGTAATAACGGATGACTTTTCTGGTTTGCTGTATGTTGTCTTAGGTTGGGAAATGATCTAAACCATCAATGTCTTGATGATGCAAAGTTGTTTTTCTTAATGAAAAACGGTAGTGTTTGTCCATAATAATAATAATAATGAAGATGATGATGATAATGAGACAGCGTGCCCCTATAAAGAGGGAATTTCCTGTGCAAACTTGTGGTGCACATATCTGTCTGCCTAGATCAGCTTTGTAGTTAGGAACGCCCATAAACCTCATGGCATAGCAAATTGTTTAAGTGATGTTTCACTTCTAAACTGTAAGTTTGTTTCTAATGCTTATTTTGTGTTGACTCTGTTGTATAGACATGGAAGTAATGAAGCCTTTAATTGATGAACAAAATTCAGATGGCGTCTCAGATGAGGAGCATGAAAATAATTTCCTGCCAGTTGAGAAGCATTACCAGCTTGATAATGAAGAAGGCATTACGTATGTATTACTCTTAAGTATCAGCTTGTTAAAAACTGTTGCCTCCAGCTTGTTTCTAATGAGTAGTTTACTGAACTCTTAAGGAGTTTTCTTGCACCCACAGTGCAGTTTTGTTGTTTTACTTTAGGACTTTGCATAGTTCTGCCAAAAAGCAGCCCATTTTGAGTAGGTTCTCTGTTCTTTGGAAGCTAAGGACGTACTGGCCATAAAATATTCCAAGCTGCCCATTTGTAAAGTGATTGGGTCACTCGAAATCCAAGCACTGTTTAAAGATTATTTTGATTGATTTTTTTTTCCTAAAGAAACTTCAGAAGACTTGGTAAATAATCTATTTTGTTGAAGTTTAATTAGAAGATTGTGTAAAGGGTTGTTTTTTTTCTTTTGATACACTTTGATTGCCAGAACTGTGATTTGTAGCTGATAATAGTTTTGAATGTTACTGATTCTAAAATAGCATTGATGAAACTTGGTAATTTTGACTCTGAGGCAGAAGGACAATAAAATTGCACAGCAAATAACCTTTCACGAACTGGAGGAAGGAACTGAAGATCAGACTTGTATGTTCAATTGAAGGGAGCTCACATCTCAAGATTAAGAAGAACATTCTTTGAATGTGCTGGGCTACTTTACAGTAGTTGAAATTCACAAATTATCCCCGTATGTTAGTAAATGATAGAGAGTGTGGGTTTGTTTTGTTTTGTTTTGTTTTTTTTCTCCACCAATTTGAGTGTACTTCTAATGTGACTTTTTCTATTCTTATCCTCAGGTTTATACAAACACTTATGCACCTCCTCAAAGGAAACATTGGAACTGGGCTTCTTGGTCTTCCACTTGCAATAAAAAATGCTGGCATTGTGGTAAGAATTCAGCTTTTTTTTGTAGATTAGAAAAATTATTTAGAAAGGTCTACAGATATGCCTCTGAGCCTGGAAAACTAGAATCTCGATAGGTTTTTTTTGCTACTGCCAACTTCAACAGAATTGTGTTCTATTTTTCTCTTTAGTTTGGTGAAGTTTTTACTGAAGATTGAGTTTTTTTGGTTTTTTATTTTTTTAAAGTTGCTACTTCACTCTGAAGACTTCATAGCACGTATTGTAATTTTGCTTAGCCAAAGTATTTTTCTGTGGAAAACAAAAGCTTTGTCAGAAAAAGAAAGATTTTCATTTTCTCAGACTCCTATGATGTCTCATGGGAATTGTTATAGGGTTGTCTTGTCTTTGTCAGACTTCTCTCTAGCCAGATCGTATGTCCTAGGATGCGGCGCCAGCTTGTTAAATCAATCTCGTGTTTCTGCAGAAACAGGCCATAGCACAGGCTAGTTTATACCGGGTAACAAACAACACATTTCTTAAGGCAGGGTAAATTTAATTTAATTTAAAGGAAAGAAACCTTTATTGTCATTAACATTGCCACTTTAAAGTGGTTCAATATGCAGTCTTCTCTCTTGACAAATTTTTTTGGCAAATATCTTAATGAAGCTGTTAGAGGAGTGAAGTTGTTCATGCCCATTTGGTATTTATGGCTTGATCGCCCCTGAGTAGCCTTCTGTCAAGTAGTGAACTAAAAATAAGGAATGCCATAAAACATCAGCAGCAAATCCTCCTCTGAAAGGGGAAAAAAATCCAGTTGCATGAAATTTTTAATTCTTTATATATTTGCTACATTGTTAAATTTTTGCATGTAAAGATTTCTCCCCTAGCACATTTTCATGAAAAATTCTGTTTATCTCCCATGTCCTCCCTCTTTTTTCCATCCCAGATTGGACCAATCAGCCTTGTGTTCATAGGAGTTATATCTGTTCATTGTATGCACATCTTGGTACGTTGCAGCCACTGTCTATGTCAGAGGTAAATGTGGAACTACTCATTCTGTTGCTGAGTTTGAGTATTATTTTTTTTTCTTTCTTCTTTTCTATTTCTAAGTTTTGGCCTACAGAATGTCCTGATGCTGTAGCAGTTTCTTCAGATCAGAATCCTGTACTTCAAAGAAACAACACTCAAATTCTTACTGTGCAACTATAAATGATAGCTGTGCTTTGTGCAGCACTGCTTTAATACATTGAAAAAATATTTCTTCTCTGCTCGTACACCAAATTAAGTTGGTTTAACTTGTATTGCCCAGTATCCCATTCCCTGTCTTAGCTGGCAAATAATCACATCTTTCTCATTGCGATTTTAATTGCTTAGCTTCAGGACCTTTAGCCCTTCTTTACCTTCATAACTTTCTTCATAGCTTTTGAATCTTCATAGCTTTGAAAAGTGTCCACTTTATAAATAACCAGTTTATAAGTACTTTATAGGAATAAAAGACAAACTAAGAATTGCTGTTAATGTCTTTCAGGATTACATGTGAGCTCTGTCTCTTTGGATTGTGACAGCTTGGTTTTTCAAAATTGTATTGCTGAAGGAATGTGTTAAAAGGATGCTAGTGAGCAGATAAACACTAGAGAGTCCTCCAAGTGAGATGTACAATACTGGGGGGGAAGCAGTTATTCAGATTTGACCGATAGAGTATTTTGATTAATAATGACTTTTATTAAACATTTTTATCTTACTGTCAGGTGTTAGAGAGAAGCAGTGGGAGGGTCTTGTATTTAAAAAGTGCAATGAAGTTTCTGAACTGAATAGAAACACAAAACTGTTCGTGTCCCTGTAGCTGGAAAAACTTATCAGTTTAATGTGATACTGTACTGTGAAGGGATCCTGCCATTCCTGAATTCTTTGCTTTTTCCTCTGTAATTTTGAATGGCCTTTGAAGATGTACATAAAACTAAGATCACTGAAACAATTGCGATTGACTGCTTGTACAGGAAAATCTGTTGAATCCTGTTGGAGTTCTTTGTGACTTTTAGGTTTGAGATGAATTTCTTAAGCTGATATTACAGGAATCTAATTTTGGAGTAATTTATCAAGAAAGTTGTTCTGTCAGAAACGGATTTAGTACTGTTGAATTAGAGGGAAGCAGCATTGTGGTTCACATGCTTGTAGAGTGCTGAATAGCCCTTGCTGGGGGAAAGAAGCCCAAACCATACCTCTAACGTTCAGCAGCCACAGAATGGTGCCACAGGTGATTGCTTATTGTAACCCTGGGAGGCCACCAGCATTTTCGGGTTAAGGATCTAGGCCCTCATAGTTTTTAGTAACTCCATTTTTTTCTTCACTCTCTGATTTCAGGATGAAAAAATCCTCACTGGGGTATAGTGATACAGTTAGTTACGCCATGGAAGTGGGGCCTCTGACTGCTTTTCAGAAACGAGCTTCTTGGGGACGGTATGTTTGCATTAGACTTTAATTTAATAAATTTGTTATTAAAAATTAATGGCTACACTTGGAATGGTTAGGAGATTTTCTTTTTACTAAGATGTTACCTGCTTTAAGAATGTGTTCTCTTGTGCTTGAAATATTTTTATGCGGTGCTATTTGTTATTTCCTGCAGCTAGTAGTGGTGACATGAGAGGATTGGGGAGCGTCTCTCTCTGTTAGGCATTTCAATTTTCAGGTCTACGAGAGCTCTGAAGAAAAGAATTCCGTTTGGTAGTACAGGAAAAGATGTGGTATAACTAGAAATGCATTCTGTATCGTCTAATGTAATGAAGTAATTTAAGTTTTCATTTTCTTTTACTGTAACCACATTTCTCTGCATCAGAGTTCACTCTTTAAGCAGGTTGACACTGCAAATGTAAATTACTTCAGTATATTTATTCGGAAAGGAAGCAAAGCAATTCTTTGATTCCTGTTTAAATATAACATACAAATAATGAAGAAATATTTACTATATTTTGCAATAATGGCATGCAGATATTAATAGCTTGTTGTCTCTCTTAAATACTTTATACCTCTCTTAATAAAGACCATTATTTTTTCTTTGCTGTTTGTTGCTCTATAGTTATTTGTGGAGTTTATGGTATGACTACACAGTAGTGAAACTCAAAAAGTCAGACATGTTGTTCAATGTTAAAGTGTTTTTTTTCCTCGTTTGAGAAAGACTTCTTTTTTTGATCCTGTTATTTTCAAGCATGCAGCATCTTGCATCATGTGTTTTAGCTATTACAAAAAGGTGAGCTAGTCTATTAAGATATTTTGCGATGGCTTCATAGGAATGGAGTAGAGCTCAATTAGAGGGCAAATTGGTTTGTAGTGAAATATAATGGCAATCCTGTAATGCACCAAAGAGTTACAAACCACAAATGGCAATTTGATTTCCAGAGACACTGTGCTGCAGCAGATCCCTTCTCTGAGGCAGATCTCTGCTGTATGCCTGACTCTAGCAAAGAGTTTCATTACAGCGTGTCTTCAGGCCACCATTGTGTATAACAACTTTCAAAAACAATCTGGACCATAGTTTAGAGTGTTTTTTTTTTTTCAGTGCCTGAATGTGTATTTGGATACATTGATACAGATCCACTTAGAAAGATGTGAAAATGTTTGTTATGTTGAATTGCTGAAACTTGCAAAACTTAGGCTGTATAAGACGTTTAATCTCTGGTCCTGGTGGAAATCTGCTGTGTGGGGCTAACAGACCCCAGCAGAATTTATATGTGCATTGAATATATATGTCTGTTGTTTATATTTGTACCACATTGTTAAAGCTTTGAATTTCATTTTATGTTACTTTAAAATATGAGTACCACCTTTTTTTTTTTTTGAGCAACTTCTATGCCTACTCAATGTTACCTTAAAAAACAAACACATACAAAAGCCCTCTGTTTTGCCATAAGAAGAACCTGCATTGCAGTGCTCATAAGATTAATGTGGCATTTGAATCCAGCATTTTGACTACTGTAAAAAGGAGTAGTAATTGCATATTAGGTAGAAATGAGTTAATTGTTTGGATCCTAAGTATAATGTATGTTTGTTTTTTCTTCCTCAGGTATATTGTCGACTTTTTCCTAGTGATAACACAGCTGGGATTTTGTAGCGTTTATGTTGTGTTCTTGGCAGAAAACGTGAAACAAGTGAGTAATGTTACTGTATGGAAACAGTTATGGTTTTAAATTCATTTTTCCTCCACTTTTATTTCCTATCCTTATAAAGATCAACAGAACTACTTGTAAAATGTGAAGCTGAGAGATGCACAGAATGGGTTCTACCACGGTTTCCACAACACAGCTTTTGGTAAAAAGGAGCAATGTGCAAGGTGAACTAAATTCAGATCTTGTGCACGTGTTTGTGGCTTCACTGCCCTCTGATTTGTTTGTTGAATTTAAAAATTAATTGTGGAAATGATAGAAAATAAGGCCGAAACTGGTCTTTTGCCAGGCCTTTTGCCGACTTCCTTTTTTTCCCCTGACCTCCTGGGCATATTATTCCCTTTTCATGTCACTGGAATCTTTCTTTGGTTCTTGTTCAGTCTCTTCCCTTTTCTAGAATCGTCTCCATCTGCCATAGAATCCATTGTATCTAAACCAATCCTGATTTTTGTTCTTAAAAATGCTTGACATTGAAATTTCTGCAGCGTCCTAAGTAGTCAGTTCCAATGCTTTCTTATCTGTTAGACAGCTTCCTCTTTTGGAAGCTTAAAATTTCTTATCAGCATTGTAAGTTCTTTAGTTCGTATTCTAGCTATAAGTAATTTATTCTGTTCTATTTGTGGATACCTTTTATATTTTTGAATATTGTTATCATGTCTCCCCTCTATCTAATAGAGGGGAGACATGATAGAATCTAATAATTCTTCTTACTTTTCTGTGAATGCTCTGCATTGGTCACATCTCTCTCTTTTTTTCCCAAGTTTTATCCCTGAAGTTGGTTACGCTACTCAAGTTGAAGTTTTGCTTGTGACCAATAGAGCTGAAAGGTTATTTCACAGGTCTTACAGATCATATTCCAGACTTGACACTTCAGTATCATGGTCATTTTGCAGGACCATGCCATTGCTAACTCATGGTTCACTTGTGATCCACTGTGATCTCTCGATCCTTTACCGCAGAGCTGCATTCTAGGCAATTCTTCTGGTTCTTCTTTCTGTACAGATGGTTTCTGCTTACCTGTAGAATCCTTTATTTTTCCTTACTGGATTGATTTTGAACAGTTCTCAAGGTTTAATTTTAATCCTATTCTTCAGCATTCTTTCACTTTCCTTCTGGAATAGATGTTTAAACCGTGCTTGCTACATCATCTGTGTTATTAATGAAAATATTAAATAGCACTGCTCATGTAGCATTTCATGTGCTTTACTGTAAATACTATTACACGTATACTATTTAATATTAAACATATGCAAACACATTTCAATATGTTTTTTAAATGGATTGAACATTAATTATTAGAAAAATACTGTGATTCATTTGTGCAAGTTGATTTATTTAAGGATGTCTAAAAAATCAAATATTTTGTCATGCCATATTTATAAAAAAGTCAATTAAAAATTGCAAGTGAACCCACACAACCACAAATACCTATATACCTCGCAGACAACCCCCAAACCTTTCAGTAAAATATCCCTTTTCTCCCCCCCCCACCATTCGTCACTGATAAAACCAAACACAACCATGCCTCTCACTTTCATGACAGCTGCTTCTGCTTTCATCCATGTTTTTTGCCTCTCATTCTCCGGTCCTTCTAAGCTCTTCTTTTTCTTGTTGGTGGAGATTTTTCTGTTGACAGGGTCCCTGATGTCTGCTGGTCGTTCCTCTTTGCACACCCGGCAGTTGCAGTCAGCAGTTTGTGTGTCCGAGCAGGTAGTCTGTGGGAGGTCAGCCAGCACAGGAGCCACAGGCACTTTGAGCTTGTGCTGGTCTCTCCTTCGTGGGCTCATTAAGATGCCAGGACTCTACTAATGTACTCTGCTGTGTTTTCTGCTCATAAGATTATGGTTTGTCGCTTGACATAAAGCTAATGAGGATGAATATGGGCCTGTGTCTAAACATGTGTGCTTCTGCAATTAGTGAAGTGGGTGAGGAGTAAGGTATGGCAGGTTACTGAGCATTAGTCATCCATATGGACTCTTATTCTACCCCAAAGGTAGAATAAAGGTGTCTTGGCATAGCTTAACCTACTTTAATTAGGAAGAAGAGTGTCCCCTTGGGCAGTTAGTACATAGAAGATAGTATGGTTTTTTTCCTCCCCTTGTAGATGAGTGTTTATATTGTGTTTAAAAAGTATTCCAAGTTCTACGGATTAAGATTCTTTTAAGACAAGGTGAATTCCTGTGTTTGGAAGCCGAACACTCTGTAAATTTGCGTCTTGGGAGAGAAAAAAAAAAAAACCAAACCCTTAAAAACTACAGTCCCACTGTCACAATCTATCTCAATACCGAAAAATCCAATTTTACATCTGATGTCCTTTTGCTGGCCTTCTGAAGTGGGGATTTTTATTGCATCCTTTGTAACGTAAGTTCAAATTGAAACTTTTCCTATCAAATAAATATCTGGTCAACCAGTTGTTATATATATGTTTTGACCTTAAGCAGAAGGCAAGACTGAACACTTAGTGACCTGGGCTTTTGTAGATCTTTGAAAAAAACAAAACCTTTTTGTGAATCCTGTTGCTGCTTTGCTAAAGAAAGGTTGCAAGATCTTATAGAAAAGCAACCTCTGCAAAAGCAGTGGCTGCAGAGACCCACGACACGTACCCCGTGAATGAATTAAAGTCATCAGCAATTCAGAAGTCCCACTTCCAAGTGTACTTGATTGAGATTGCCCCGTGCTCTTTCCTCTGGGAGGGAGAAGGCTGTGGTTTCTTCCTGGCAACTTTATGTTGCAGAAATCTGTCCCGTAGAGGGCACCAAAGAACACAAATCGTTACTGCTTTAAATCTAAATCTAAATTTGGGGTAGTGGAAGGATGAGGCAGGTGATTAAAGGGAATGGGGGGGTGGGGAACTAAAATAAAGGAAAAACATAGTAGTAATGTTACTAATATCACTCCTTGACCAATACCTCTGCATTATGGTCCGTACTCTTCTGATGATGTTTGCATGTTGGCGTGCGCAAATTAAGCCCACTGGAACCAGTGGGAACTTCCACTGAGATCTTTTCTTTGATATTTTTAGTTAAAACTAGTACCAACCCAAATTTAGTAGTCTCTTCCTTCACTTTACTTACTGTTTCAGAGAACTAAGATGTGACAAAGCATTTTAAAATGGTTCTGGCGCATGAATGGAATATTCATCTGTCCAGATTACTTGGAGGTAAATATTTATTTAGACACACAGTGGTGCATGTGAGTCTAAATATTTATTTCATCTTTTGAGTTCTGTGAAATGTTTGATACACCCTTCTCCCTAATGGATATGTAGCATAGCGTCTGGTGCTAAATCTTTTCTGATTAGTGTCTGTGGGATTATAACAATGTTGGTTGCATTACATTAGTGTTTTCCAGACACTTTATGCTACAAGACCCTATTTCTAGTTATACCAAATTTCAAGTGAAGCTTTTGCTAAGGAATATTTTCCTGGGGCACCAAAGAAACTCAGGTTGGTGGCAAGAGTTCTGGTTAAGTCTGGCAGCATGCAAATAAGGGGCTTAACAGGTGAAGGTGTCTGGAATTGGAGAGGAATGGTAAAACTGGAACAAACAGCTGGAGGTTGACTGCAGCAAGACCGGAGCAGGAGCACACTGGGATAGAAGAAAGAATCTGTGCCCAAAAGAGCATGGCCCTTTCATGGAGGCCCTTTCATGCCATAGTTACTTTGCTTTTCCTGGTTGAGCAACGGAAGACCTTAAGTCAAGAGTCTTGGCATTTATCAGCTTGCTCGTGAATATTTGCTGAGTTCTCTGGAAAAGTCCTTTTCTCATTGTTTGCTGATAAAGGTAAAAAATGAAATCATGTTCTTGCTGCGTGGGAGCACTTTATTAGATCTTTAGCACTTTGAAGACGACCCATCAGTGGGATGCTATGTAACGGAATTGTGACTTCCCCCCTCCCCCCCAGTTTTTGTAAAAAGGAAAAAAACTGCCAAAACTGAGGAAATTGTACTTAGACCTAAAACTAGAAGTGTTAAAAATGTTACAAAGTTGAGTACTGAGTAATTTTCATTTCAGTACCATAACTAAATGAACTGTGAAACATTTCTTTGGCCTGTTCATGCCAAATTACGGGATTATAATATAGTCTTTATCTGCCTGATAACATGCTGGTTTTGTGCCCAGTCTGGCCTTGTGTATTGTACTGGCTGTTGCTCTGAGCTGAATAAGGAAGGAATTAGGAGGAACCAGTGAATTCAAAGACTACTGTTTTGATCCCACTAGATGTTGAAAAGTCCGTAGGCTGTGACAGAAAGAGCGGGTTTTGGGATACAGGCAAGGAAACAGTGGTCTCGGTTGAAGAGACTAAGGATAAGGAAACGGAATTATTTCTTACTTCTGAGGTAATTCTTGTAAGAAGCGCGTTCATCAGTTGAACTGAATTTTCTGCAGTCACTAGCTGTGCATTAGTCGTTTTCTGAGTGCCTGACATAAGGAATCTTGATAACCAGATTTGCGCCAGCGTTTGATCTTCCTGGATACAGCTGAAGTTGGTGGATGCTGTGCTTGGGCTATGCAAATGAGACGTTAGGTGAAGCACTCCTGTACAGAAAGCTGTTTCAGACATCACGCCATCATGTAAGTTCATGCATGAATAACTGAAGTGACTTCTGATGAAGTCACCTTGTGCCTGGGGACATCACTAGCCTTCGTAATCACTCTGCCTAGTGACTTCACTGGCTGTGTAATTCCTTTCTAAAACCATAATGATATTTCCTAATGTGGTTTAGGGAAATGTTTGTGGAACTCCCAGGTACAGCCATGATAAGCACAGAACAAAATGCAGATAACGTGTGTTCAGATTGGAAGTTGAACAATATTCACTGGGCTCTGTGATGTATACAAAAGAGTATGTATGTATGCCTTTTTCAAGAACAGACCCATTTGATGGATAAGTGAAAAGATTTGTCTAAGTTGGCTGACATTCCAATGATATTTCAGATTACGTGGTTTTGTTTAGGAAAAAGACAGATATAGTGTCTGCTGTT